TCCATCCCTCTGCCTTCAACCAGAGCTTCTCCTCTGCTTACCACAGATGTGTCCTGCCTTCCTATGCCAGTTCCTCGTCAATCTGCTTTAGAGCCTAGCCACCCAGACGGTTCCTCCTGAAGTCTAACCCAAACCCCTCTTGCTGCGAAGCTCCCACACCAGTCTTCTGAGCTCGTTCCTTGGGTGAGTCTGCAGCGCAACCCCTCAGGCTCCTGCTACTTGCTTCAGTGTCATCCAGCCCCTTTAGCTGTTCTGTGGGGCTCCCTGTCCCAGCCCATTAGTCACCGTGGTTGCCATCTCCCTGGAGTGTTGCCATCTCCCCCTGGAGTGTCTCCCAGGGCTCCACAGCCCGGGAGGGCAGAGAGGCTATGTTTAACCCTGCTCCTTCCCAGCGGCCAGAGAGGGGAAACCTCTGGGAACCACAGGGTCACGGAGCAGACCCTGGGCCCAGGCCCCCGTGATGCGCCTCCCTGGCCAGCCGCGGGCGTCTCCTCTCAGCTGCTCGGGGCGCCTGGGGCAGATGCATGATGCGGTCCCCCAGCCCGCCACTGCCCCGGCGCGCTCTGCCCCAGGCTCTGTGCTTGGCTCTGAAGAGAGTGTCCAGGGTGTCCCTCTCACAGGCCCTGCCCTGGGTTTACCTCCCAGCCTCTCCCTGCCGGCTCTGGCTGTGGGCTCGCAGATTCTCATCTGCGACATAACGCCCCTCCAGTAAGGGGATGGGCTGACGTGCTCCATAAGCCGCTCCACGCCTCGGCCCTCAGTTTCTCTTTCTGGACAATGGGACAGATCTCGGTCAGCCACTCCTCTGGTCCTGTCCCCAGGGCTGGAGCATGCCTTGGGGGCTCTGCAGAGGGAGGCCATTGAGGATGAGTCCTTGGCCTCTCTACCTGGTGAGTCACAGCCATGGGAACAGGCCACAGCTTGGCAGAGGCCAAGCCTTGAGTGGACTAAGTGTCCCCTGCTTCCAGGACATTTGTTTACAGGTCACCGGGGCCATGATGGTAGCTTCATCAGTGGGTTGGTGCAGCTCAGAGGTGCCCAGGGGAGTCCCTTTCCATCCCAAGCAAGGACGGAGACAGACGGCAGGCTCCTCTGCAGGACTTCCACACACCCCAGCTCCTTTCCACTTCCTCTGACATCTCTGGCCTCACCTCCTCCGGGCAGCCTTCCCAGATTGGTCTCTGCCATATCAGGCAACTCCCTCACCAGCTGCCCCAGTGGGCAAGGTCTGGCCTGCAGTGATTGCTGCCAGTTTACTGAACACCTACTACATGTCAGGTATTATCCTCGGCCTTTTCACCCATGATCCCTCATTCGACCCTCACAGTGACCCTATGAAGCAGGTACTATCATGCCCACTTTACGGATGAGGCTACTGAGGCTCAGAGAGGCTAAGTCCCTTATACAAGGTTCAAACCTAGACCAGTGAGAACCTCCAAAGTGTGTGCTCTGACCTCTAACCAGGCCAATCTCCAGAGAGGGTCCTCAGGTCACTATTCCAAGTGTGTGTGTCCTGCCTGCCCCACCAGGCCACTCCCAGGGTAAAGCCATAGCTATCTCATCAGACTGTGACCTCCTCAACAACGGCAGGGTCCCAGCTGCCCTCTCCTCAGTCTCCCCAGTGCCTGAGGACGACTGCTCACCGTCAAGGCTTCGGCCCCGGCAAGACAGGACTTGGGTACTGGGGGTACGGTGGGTGGCTCTGGTCAGCCCCTAGAGTTTGTGCCTTCTCCCAGACAAGGTCAGATGTCTGACCTTCCAGAAGAAGATCCCCCGTCTCTAATTTCTGCTCTCACAACCCCCCAGCTCCCAGTGTGCTGGAGACCCCCCAGGGTGGGGCCAGGAGGCTGATGGGTTGGTGTGGGGGAGAGAGCTGGGGGAGGGGACAGGCAGAGGGGTCACAGCACCAAGGGCATGGAGGGGGCCCTGACACCCTGGAGACCCTGGCGCTGGAGAGAAGGGGGGCAGGTATTAACCCCCTCTTCGTTCCACACAGACCACAGCTGGTGGCAGCGGCAGAGCCCCAGGCCCCAACCAAACATGAACCATCTGAGTTATTCCAGAAGGTTTTATTTTTGAAGCATTGGCCACGCCCTCAGTGCCTCTCTCTATGTGGGGACGTGAGGACACAGAGGACACGGGTTACACGGACCCGCATCCGTGTCCTGCCTCTCCATGCCTGGTTGTGTGGCCTGGGGTACGACCCTCCCGTCTCTGAGCCCCACGTCCCCCCTCCAGGGGTTGAAGGAGAACTAACTAGGTCAGGGGAGCCAAGGCGCAGCCTGGCTCGGGATAAGCGCTCAAAACAAATGGTGGCTTAAAAATAGATAATGAACACAAAATAGCTCCTGGAAACAGCGTTTGTTGCCTTAATTTGGTCCCGGTCACTTTCCCGATGTCCTCTGCACCCCAAGTGCCCACCGCCCGCTCCTTTTGCCCCACGTGGGGCAGGGCGTGAAGCCTCTGTGGCTCCCCTTTCCCAGCCAGGAAGGTCTACGTTAGCTGTCGGCAGATAGGTGACAATACAAATTAAAAATGAGAGTAACAGCTGACACTCACGCACGCTTACTAGGCGTCAGGTACTCTCTGAGTGTTTTACATGAATTCAGCCACTTAATCGCCCCCGGAAACCCTATGACATTGCTACTGTTCTGATTCCATTTTAGCGATGAGAACTGAGACACACGCACACCAGGTCCCGTATCTGGCGGAGGTCCCAGAGCTGGTGAATGGTGGAGTAGGGAGGCTGGGATGGGCCGGCTCTGCCAGGTGTGGCCTGAGTCTGGGGTTAGGGGTTTGGTGGGTGGCCCCAGCTGGGTGCAGGCTCCGGGCTCAGCGTGAGGCTCACAATCCCCGGCCTCAGCTTCAGGCCGTGTACCTGGCCCAGGGACGCACTTGGCACGTGGGGGCTATCATTAGCGATTGCCGCAGGTGTGGGGACCAGGTGCAGCCCCAGCAGGGTAGGAGGAGCCCAGGCAACAGGGCTGAGGGCTAGCTCTGTGCTGAGACTAAGGACACGGGCTCTGGAGTCTGTGTGCCAGGGTTTAATCTTGGCTTTGCAATTTCCTAAGCTATGTGGCCCTGGGCAAGCCACTCAACGGCCCTGTGCCTCAGTTTCCCCATTTATAAAGTGAGTATTATGTTAAGTGAGTATTATGTAAATATCCCAAATTAGATTTTTGTGCCTAAAACTTTCAGACTAGAACCTGGTAAGCTGTAAGCACTCAGAGAGTGAGTACTAGTGACAAGTGGAGGGGTGGGTGGTTCCGTGGTTCGGCCACGGAACGTGGTTTCTGGGACAATGGGTATCCTCTGCCCGTGTGGTCCCCCACACCTCCTTTTACCTATATCCAACATTCCTGGGTGCATGTTGAGACTCTCAGTGGCCCCATCTGCTCAGGAGAGGGACAAGTTTGGGAGACACAACTAGAACTGGGGGTGGCACTCAGGAAGCCCAGCTGCAGAAGGAAGGGTCGGGAGAATGTGTCTTGGCCGGTGTGACCTCACACAGCCCCGGCAGAGGGTGCTGTGGAGGGGCACCAGGTTCGGGGTCAGAGCACCTGGGCCTCAGCCCCACAGGGTGACTTTAGTGGGCGTGTCTTCCTCTCTGGCCTCTGTCCTGTGCTCAGTGGGTCCTCAGCTCACAGGCCAGTCCATCTGGGGCTGGGTCCCCACAGTACCCATCAGGGGGTGGCCAAGTGATAAGGAAGGGGCACAGTGACTGAGGAAACGTCCAGATCCCCACACCTGCTGTACAAGTGCCTGGCACATGCACACAGCAGGTCTCATGTTCACATGAGCTCAGTGAGTGGATGAGTAAATCACCCTGTTCCTTCCCCTCCCCCACCCACGATCCCACTCCTGACACCTTCCAGAGGCATCCTGAGCCCTTACCCGAATGCCCCACATGAACTAGTGAACAGAACCCTTTAGAGTCCAGAGGATGGGGGGAGGGGTGCATGCTCCTTCCTCTACACCCCCCAGGACAAGGTCCCCTCTGGGGCCAGCCCAGCTCCTCCCAAGGCCGGTTCATACCTACGTAAGCTACTGGGGGTGATGGATGTGGTGGTCCCCCAAGACCCTGGGGTTGGGGTCAGTGAGTTTGGCCTCAGTCTGTAGAGCCTGAGCCAAGGCCAAAGTCACCCCCACTTCCAGCATTGCCCCCGTGCCATTGTGGGGTGAAGAGACCAAGTGGGAGAACAGCCCAGTCTGACCTCTTGGCTACGATGTTGCTCAGCAGCCTGTTGGGAAGCTGGTGGCTGGAGGGCTCCCAAGACCAACCTGCCCATCCCCCAGCCCAAGTGCCAGACCCTGCATCCCCTACTCAGGACAGAAGAGGCCCAAGCCCACCCCAGGCCCCCAGGCAGGGGCAGGTCCCGCCAGCTCCCTGGGGACCATCTGAGGGAGAGCAGAGGGTGCCAGGTCAGAGACAGAGAAAGGCCCGGGGGTAACTGGGAGCATCAGCTGTCCTCTGTCCCTTCCTGTCCCCTGACCAGGGATGGGGGCGGGGATGAGGAGTTAGGGATAAAGGTGGGGGAAGGGGACCCTTCTTTATAACCTGTTCACCACCATTAACCTCAGAAAGGAGCCGGGGGCAGGGGGGAAGCCAGCAGGTCTGTGTCTCGTGGAGGTGTGGGAGAGGGAGGGTCTACTGGCGCTCCAGGTGCCCCCGCCCCAAGTCCCCCAGAGCCTCCCCCGCATCCCACACACGGCAGGGGTGTGTGGCTGCCGGAAGGAAGCGTGGCACGGGGACCCCGCTGCGTGGCACCTGCGGGGTGCGAGGCGGGGCGGGGATGCGGTGACCTCCACGCGCTCCCTCTCCGCGCTGCCCCCCCATCCCGCACCATCCCGTCCCCCTGGGGCACCGTGTCCCCCGGGGGTGCGGCCGGTCCGCGAAGGGCGGGTCGCCGCTCTCACCCCCCAGTCCCCCTGGAGCGGCGAGGGGACAGGTCGCGCGCGGGTCTCGGGCGCCCGACCCCACCCGCCCGCGGCCCCCTCACCTCGTGACACGCAGGAGCCCATCACGGGGCCGCGGGGCCGCGCCGCTGCGCCAGGGGTGCGCCGGGCCGCCGGGCGCTCATGTCTCCGCGGGCCGGGGCTGCGGGCTGCGGGCGCGAGGAAGGGGCGTGGGCGCGCTCGGCTCGGCTGGCTCGGCCTCCGTTCGCCGGGT